TTTTCCTCTGGTACAACCTCCTTGCATTAAACAGTTTTGTTCAATACCTTCCATGCGCTATTTATGTTCCCATTAATATCTGTTGCAAATCCTGCCAGACACCATAAAAGAAAATTACAATCTTTCAGACTCGGGGCTGCGCCAGTACATACACGCTGCTCAACTTTTTGTTTTAATAAAATCCTCAGCATCGCCCCTTCCCCCTTCACACTCCCCACCCCAACAAACACTCCCCCCCGGCTGCCGGTGCTGCTGATCGGGGCAGCCCGCGGCGCCCCCCCTCGCCCAGCGTCCCCCGCACCCCACCGGTGACAGTCCCCGCACTGGAGGGGTGAAGCGGGGGCACGGCGGCTGCCGGCTGCTCCCCCATCGCCCGGCAGACAGGCGCAAGCACTTGAACCGGCTCTGCGGAGCCGTCCTTGATCCCCATCGTTATGTTTCAGTTGCAAATTGGGTTTCTTATTTTTTTCGAGGCCCAGCAGCTGCCCCGCGCCCACCCCGCAGCCCCCCGCCGCCGGGCAGGGGTACACTTCACCCCCCACACACCCCCCCCCCGAGCAGGAGGGGCAGGCTGGCAGGGCGCTGCGCGGCCTTGCACACGCGTGGAGCTGGGCCTCCCCCGGCCGCAGACCGTCCGCAGACCGTCCGCACCCCTCAGGGTGCGCAGCAGGGGCTGTCCCGGGCGGACGCAGGGCCGGAGCTGCCCTCGGGGAACGGGCACTACAGACCCCAGCCCTTGCTCGCTGGCAGCGTCTCTCTCCTTGCGGGGCTGCATCGGGGTGTCCCCAAATCACCCCTCCTCGTTAACCCGCGGCGCCGGTTCGCTTTGGGGGAGAACAGAAAACAACCGTGAACTGGGCAAAACTCCCCCCGCTCCCCGGTTTAAACGGAGACCTCGACAAAGCCGCCGCCCGGGCAGAGGTGCGAGTCCTCCCCCCGTGGGCAGCCGCGACCGGCGCGGCGGGGAACACGCGTGGGAACCCCGCTGCCGGGCCGGGCTCGCAGATACGGGTTTCCCGGGCGGGCAGCACTGACCCCGGCGGCGCCCGCCCGTCACGGCCACCTGCCCGCCCGCCCCGGGAGCCCGGCAGGTGCCGCCGCCCCGCCGGCTCTCCCCCCTGCGCGAAAGGTCCCCGCGAGCATCCCAGGATATCCGTTTCGTTTGAGCGGGGAGGCTCCTCTACGCCGGCGACCCCCGCTGCCTCCCGGGCGGGACACGGCCGGCCGCGGGGCTGTGGGGCTGCGGGGCTGCGGGCGCGCCCGCAGCACATCCGCGGCCCGAAAGAAATATTTAAATCTGGGGGTTTGCTTCGTTGTGGTTTTTTTTTGTTGTTGTTCGTTTGTTTTGTTTTCCTTTTCTGGACGGAGGGGCGGAATTAAACCTACTTCTAACATAGGCTGGGAGACAAAACGCCCCCCCTTCACACACAGGTTTCAGTGCATTCCCCGTAACAGGAAATTTTCCCTTCCTTACATTATAATCGAATGAGCCCAGCAGCCTACTTGGAGAAAAGTTGGAATTCTTCATCGAGGTATTTGTTGTGCTATTGTCTTTGTGCAGTGAACTTTACATCGTGCTATTCAACCTCAATCTATATTCTCCTAGCTACCAGTAAGATTAATTTAATCATTGTAATGCAATTATTAATACTGTTTACCCAACGCTTGATTTCAGGTTCACTGTTAAGAAATTAAGCTCCTTGCTGGGTGACCAAAAAGCCAGGCAGGGATTCCCAGTCCCCCTCGAAATGAAACAGTTCTCTTTATTTAGTCTCAGAACTCCAGCTTTCAGCCACGGGCTCAATTAGCCAAAATGGAAACAATTTTCATTCACTGCAATAACTCACTGTTCTGCTGATCACTCTCCAAATATACACTTTATTATGATATGCTGACCTCGGTGCCGCGGAGTGGCGAGGCTGGAAGGAGGCAGAGGGATCTCTCCAGCCCCCTTGGGCTGTAATTATTAGAAATTAATTGGGTTCAGGACCCTGGGTAGCATGGGTAAATTAATAGCTTGTCTGGTTGTTTAAATCCGAATTCTGAGCCCGCGGGAGAGCAGGGGAGGGCGGCTCTGCCTCCCCGACCCGCCCCGAGAGCGCGGTGAGGGCTGGGGCAGCGCGGCCCCGCCGGCTGATTCCCCTCCCGCTTCTCACCCACGCATTGTTTTCGGGGAGCTCTTTAGGGGTTAAAAATCAAAAAATAAAGATCCTGTATACTCGGAGCTGTCGTGCGGGAGTAAAAGTGAAAAGGGAGCCTTAGGCAAAAGGAAATTACTGCAAGCCCGCGTGACCTTTCCGAGAGGTAATCAATCAAGTGATCAACAGGGATATTTATCATTGCTAGATGGGGCTACTTTACAAATGCACGGAAAGGGGGGCGGGGGCGATACACACACAAGCATGAAAGTTTGGATAAACCCGAGAAGTCTGAGGACAAATGCAGAGACTTTAATGACAGGGAAGATGCATATTTTCTTTTCCGAGCTCTCGAAAGGAAAGGAAAGGAGAAAACTGCTCCCAAGTTTCCCAGCAGAAAATTCCTCCTGCGCTAGGTGGTCACATGGAAGCTGTCGCTTTGCTCAGCACTCCTGGGAAAGGCTGGGAACGACAGATGTGATTAAAGAAAAAAAAAGAAAAAGAAAAAAGGCACCAAGTACAAGGGAAAATAATAGTGAGACTGAGGCTTTAATAACCGGGCTCAGTGTTTGGGTTTATGTAATGTGTTTTTATTTGCTGGCTCGAAACTTGGAGGCTGCGGAGCTCTGTCCTGCCTGCCTCTAGTCCCCGAAACGGTTAACTCCGAAAACAAAACAAACCCCCCCACCTCATGCCCCCTGCTATATGAAATCAGCGATCTGGTTCAATTAAACTTGCTCTCCGTAGCATAAAGCATCCACCACAATACAGGCAATGAAAACCAATAATAAAAGCCCATGCATTTTCTGCACAGTTTCCTTCTCCCTTGTAAAACATGCCGTCGTGTAAGCACCAGACATTTAATTTTGCTTCCTATAACTTACCGGATTCCTTAACAAACCTGGTTTGACCACTTGGGGTTTGGCTGGGGGGAAGGGGGGGGGGGGTTTCTTTTGCACGGTGCTTCACGCACACGCCTGCACAAAGCCTTCGTTTGCGTCCCGTGCCGGTGCCTTTAAACGACTTTAGAGGTGAGGGAGCAAATGTTACCCCCCCCGCTCCCCCCCGCCCCCTTTAACCCAGTAACGCTACTCGACCCATCTTTGGAGAGAAATCCGCAGCGAACGACTGCGCGCCCGCGGAGGCCGGCTTTGCCTGCGACAAGAGCCGTGATGCCTGGCGGAGCCGCGCGGTTGCAGCCGCCGCCAAGGCTGAGGCTCGCCCCGACCCCTGCGCGCGCGGGCTGCGGTCTGCGGCGCCCCCTCGTGGCAGCGACGGGACACTACAGCATGTGGGCCGGTCCAGGGTGAGAGCGCGGGTGAACGCCCCACACCGGGAGCTGCCAGGAGCCAGGAATAAAATTAGCCCACAGTGGGATTTCGTGGGACACACGTCTGTGGCCTCGTACAGACACCCTCCCGAAGCAAAGCTGGCTCCAACTTTCCACAGGCCTGGAACTATCCTATCCCTGGTGAAGGTACCACTGAAAACACAAGTGCTAGGAAGAATTAGATGCATCCATAGGTTTGAGAGCCACAAAGAGAATACCAGTAAGACCTGCAAAATACTCCATTGGAAGCATTTCCCCCTGAAAACGGTATGGGATGCCAGCTATGAAGTAGATCTTGTTGGCGCCTGTAGGAAGGACTTGGATTTCCACCACAATGAGACTGAAACAAAAACTGTGAGGAATTACCAGGCTAGAGGCTATATTGGAAGACCAGGGTGGAGGTTGGTTTGACAAACAGGGACGTCAGAGAGCTGAATCTGCTTTTCTACCTCACTGCAGATGTTCTGGCCTCCTTTGCCCTGGTCCCTCGGTCTTGGCATTCCTCCGTTCCCTACCTGCAACAGAGAGAAGCTCCACCACAGCCAAGAGCTGGAGGTCTCTGGTTTGAGGTCCCACAGCCAGCTTGGTTTGCCATGGCCTCTGTTCCCACTAGACAATGGCAGTGCAGGACCATCACCAAGCACGCAGGTCCTGCAAATCAACCAACTGCAACCAAAACACTTGTCGAGGATTGACCAAAGAGAGGTACAACTGATACCCACAACCCCAGCTCTGGCCAAAAAAGTCACATCCTCAAGAGGCTACCCCCACTATGTCTTGCTCTTAAAGGAGAATCAGTGGACAAGTAATTGAAAAAATTAAAGGGGGGGGGGGGGGGGGGGGGGAGTAATTACAGGCCATTAGAGAAAACCAAATATGTGCTGAATGTAGACAAAAAACATTGAAGAGGGGAATTAATAGTACTGCAAATGAAAAGGGAAAAATGTCAGCAGAGATCAGCAGAAAGTGAAGAGCCTATTAAAACCAAAAATAGAAACAATCAAAATCACAGAGAAACACATAAGGGGGGAGGAATTTGAAGAGCAGCCTGAAATCCAAATGAAGGAATGCAGTAAATTTTACTCAGTACTCAGCAATAGTTAAAGGTGATGTATGAAAAGAACTGAAGCCACACCACGCCGGTGGATCAGCTGGTGAGAGAAAACCTTGGTTGATTAGACTCAAGGGTGTTGTGATTCCTGCCGGTCAGGCTGTCTCCCATTACACAAAGTGAGCAGGGAAAGGCTAAAAAATCCTTGCAGAAGGTGAAATGGGGCTTTCTGGATTCTGCCATGATGTTCCCCTTCCTTTTTGGCAAAACCCAGTGGCTTCCCAGAAGGAAGGACTGGTGAGACATGGGCTTTGAGGAGCCACTGTTCCCTGTGGGCAGCACAATGTGAATGAGCTGTGCTCAGCTCGGCCGGGTCAGTAACACATGAAGGATGTTTTCTTTCACTAAAGTCACAGGCTGAAACAGGCCTGTTCAATGCCATGGAGGCTGGGGTGGTTATTAAGCTGTTTAAAGAAGGGGAAGGAGGTGGTATGTAATGGGGCAATGGCAGAAAGGCTTCCACTAGCAGTGCTGAAATAGATGAAATTTTAAGAAAGAACTGAAATCATCTGCTTGTGTCATGAGAGCAGTATTGTGACCAAGGACTGTTAGGATGGACAAATGTGGATTTTCCCTTTGTTGGTGCTTTACTTACTTCCATTCACAGCCGGGCAGAGAATGGGCTTCTTGCTTTCTTGCTGCTTGTCTTTAAAGGAACCGCAAAGGCAGGTTAACACATCAGCCTTTATCAAATCCACAAACCCATTTTTCCCTTTACAGCATAAGGAGCACATTCATATTTCACTCCCATTTCTCTCCAATACAAAAGCACAGGGTCAGAATTAATGAGTAAAGTATTTGTGTGACGTTTTATATTGTATTGGCATTTATATAGTGCTTTTCACAGGCTTCATGTCAAAACCCTTTACAGGGCAATAAATCATATACCTTTCCTGATGAAACCGTGTGTAGGCAATTGGGCACCTATCCCGCCCTCAGCAACATCCCGCGGGCGAGGCACGGAAAGTGTGCTGAAACCTGCAGAAGTGGGTCTGAAAAAAAGGGATGTAAGTCAGACCTTCTCCCCTTAATATCCTGCTACATGTTAAAAGGTCTTTAGAGCCCACTTGAACAGCCACAGGAAAGACCTCACCTTAACATGACAAAGCTTCTGTTACAGTCTGAATTCCCCAACATGCAAATTGAGTTGTGGGTCTTACACTTAACCCCAAGGTTTTTTTTCCTCTGAATTTAAACAAGATGTCCATTTGCATGGAAAATAAGGATTTTTCAATTTAGTTCGTTTCTAAAAATAGCATCCATTCACAAGAATGAACCCACACACCGAATTTTGGATCCTAGGCTTTCTGTTAGCATTCACAAATATCTCTCCTAACACAAAATTCGCAATGTGACAATGCATCTCTGCCCTGCTGGCGTTCGCTTTCTTATTTGCAGTTTTTCAGATAACGAAGAGTAATGAAGTTCTGAGAACTGTACACCCGATTAGACTGACTCTTTTATACATTTATTTGCATTCCTGACGTGTTTCCAAAGCCACTTTGGGGTAAGAAGGAAAAAAAATAGAAAGTCATTTAAAGTCTTTTTGGCGAAAGATGGCTGGGAGCCGCGGTTATGCTCCTTTGTCAGTCTGGGGGAATAACAGCACTTTGCCCATTTCAGAGCTTTTTGGGTTCCATCGGTGTCAAAGGAAGCTTTGCAGAGTGTCCCTCCTGGCAGAGTGTACCCTCTACCACTTGAGTGCAATAGCCCTGAGATTGCACAACAGCAATGGCTGAGAAGCAAGTGGAAAATCTTTGCAGTAGCTCAACACCATTTTAAAACCACTTTTCCACCTCCCCTATCTGTAGCACATGAAAACTGATAACATTCTGCACATACTGGCTGGTAGCTCAAATGCATTAGAAACCAACCTAGTTATGATTTATCAGCCGGAAGAGCTGTTAGAATAATTTCTAAGTGTGAAAGAATAAAAAAAAAAAAAAAAATACTGTTGTCCACCAAACAGCCATTCAGATTACTTCATCTAAAATCAAAGTCATTCAGAAGTAAAACAAAAGTAAACAGGTAAAACCACATCGCTTACATAAGCTTATTAACTACCTATCTACTACTTAATGGTTCCATTAACTGCCACAGGCTACATTAGAAGTGGAGGGTTCTCACATCTTTTCGGAGGTCATTAATATCCTGTGAGATGGGAGCTGTACCTGTGCAGACACACTGCCATGTAGCAAACTAACTCGGCCTCTGCTTTTTTGGGAGAGCTGTATCACAAGCTCTTAACTCACAAGAGCTCAAATTCACGCCCTATTGTCGTGCTCTGCTGGCAATGTAGCATAATTTTATCTCTTGTTCCCGTCTCAGTGCACAACTTATTTAGTAGTTTAAAACATGATCTGTAAATAATACACACGCAAAGACTTCACTGAGATGGATAACAGTGATAATTAAAATGGTCTTTTCAGTGGGAGACACCATCAGCATCAATAGTTACAGCAGGATTTTAAGAGTAACCAACACATTAGTGCCTGTAAATTCTACTGTTTCTGGCAGTAATACATTCAAAGATCAAATTAGACTAAATGTTTGTTACAACGAACAAATTTATGTTAGCATTCAGGATTACACTCCCAGTCAATGTTTATTGTGCTTTTGATTATATATATTCTAAAGGTCTCATTTTCTTCTTTCCATCATTTTTTGATCAGTTTTGTTTAAACTGAAAGCCTTTTACTTTTCACTTTTAAAATTACTGTTTCTTCTTAAAACTTCCATCAGGTTACGGTCTCTGGAATGAGTACTAAGAAAAAGGAAACAAGCTATAATAAATTACTATCTAATCTAACCCATCTGACTGTTTCTAAGGTACCCATTATTGTGGTATCAAGGTTCTGGATCTCTGATAGCATGTCATCTTTGATCCTAAATTGGATCTCCGTCAACATTTTTAATTAAACATCTTATTTGATGCCTGCTGTAGCTGAGATGCAAATAGCATCACATAAAGAACAAGAGTTATGAGAGCAGGGAACCAAAAGTAATGGCTAGTTAGAGCATGTTTATTGCACCAAGCCAAAAACCCCCATCCTCCAGTCCCTGCTGAATCATAACGATAAGGTTCACAGTTCAAAGACACAGTAAAAACTATGTAGAAATGAAAAATGCTTTCAATTTCTTAAAATAAAAAGTGAAATTAAAAGTTTGTCAGAAGCAAATTTGAGGTACCCACAAAAAAAAAGCCTGAAATTTCTTTTTGCTGCTTTTGCCCTCCAGTGCCCAGCAAGTATCCTGCTCTCTTGCAGTCCTTCACTGGGAGCTCTGTTTAAGGCTTCCACCTTGGCTGAGAACAAACCACATTTGCTCCCTTTGGAAGGTATTTTCAAATTACTTTTTGCACAGGATCCATTAGTATTAAAGAGGGAATGCACGGACACATTTTATATAACTGTATTAGTAGCTGATTTGATAGCTATTGCTAAGCGACTTTAGAAGGAAGAATCTGTTAGAGCACTGCTATTTCAATTTGTGGAGCCTTCTATGAAAGTGCATATCATCCAACACCTTTCATCAATACAGGGCATCTACAGACAGCACTTACAGCTGACAGAAGTCGAGTGTGTTCAATTCCTTCCACATCAGATAGGAATTACTCCCTTGTTTTTTTTTATGTTGAGACTTCTGCTCAGAACGCAAGTACAGATACCATTGCTTAGAACTTTCTGCTAGATATGGAAACCCAAAAGATTTCAATCACACTTAAACACAACATATATTAAAGCCCTGAGGTTCTAGACAAGAGCCATCAAGCACAGTGTCATGATACTTTGACTACCAAACAGTCCTTTTCCAAAACATTGTTGTAAAACTTTCTGAAATATTCCTGTTTGCTTTTCTATATTGTTTCTTTCATTCTGCACTCATCACCAGAATATATGCACAGTCTAATAGCACACTAAACAGATGTTCAACCATTCCCCCCCCCCCAGCATCTTCCCAGAGGAAGATGCGCATACTGAGTAGTGATTTGTAAGATTTATTTTTTCACTTTGATACATCACCATGTAAACATATCACCACAAGTTCTCTGACAGCAATGCAGCCTAGAGGAGCAGCCTTTTGATATCTGCTGCCTGGAAGAAGGCAGAGTACAAACAGTAGTCATCTCACAGTTATCTGAAGTCAAAATTCAGCTCTTTCAGTTGTTACAAAGATAATGACCAAAGCAAACCAAACAAATTACAGCCACAACTGCAGCAAGCATTAAATAACAATAGACATCAGGCTCCAGAAAGAACAGATGACATTTTCATTTGTTTATTTTACACCGTAGCTGGCATTTCTAACTGTAGTAACCAAAAAAGCCCATTAAGGTGACAAACTAAGTCAATCTGCAGTTTCCCTTAGTGCGGCAGACACAGCATCCATAAAGGGATCGGTTACAGCAGAGCCATCAGAGCCTGCCAGTGCCTCGCGATGCCACAGCCCAGGGCAGCTCTGAATCCAGAAGACCCTCCCTGATAACACAGTGATGCTCTACCCCATCTCATGTCTGAGAAAGAGCAGTCAGCACCTGAAGTAGGAGACTGGCTGAAGAATGAACACAAAACCCTAAAGCAGAGGCAGGAGAGCAAAGATATCATTTTTCTCCTTTCTCACATTTCCTAAGGTAACTGTGGTTTAGCCTTTTGGTTTTTATTTTTCAGGAAAGTCCTTGAGTCTAGCTCACAGCAGTCTTTATGGCTGAGAGCTCATTCATCAAGAGGAAAATCTCAGATGCAAAGTTCATGATGGACTGGTGAGGTGCAAAGTTGAAAGAGAAGAGAAAGAATTTTTCCCATCCCAGAAATAATTTCAAAGTTTCAAAAGCCTTCCCAATTGCAACAAGATGAACTTAGAAGTAGGATTTGTTTGTTGTTTGGGGTTTGTTGTTTGTTTTTACAAAAGCACAGGAAAAGTCTAACAACATCATAAGCCATAACCAGGGCTCTCCTGGAATGTGAAGACTTTGGGGGTTAAATCCTTCTCAGACAGGCGGATTAGGGTTAGAGCACAATCCCTCTACATTCTAGCCTGAACACAAACTTTTTATTACAGAAGTTTCACTGAAACTGGCATGTTCCCACAAAATGTTTCAGTGGTGAGAAATAGAGTTTCCAAGTATTAAGCACTGCTGAACAATTCCCAATCATTTCTAGCCAGTGAGCAAGGCAAATGGTTTATTTTGCCATGAGTGGAAGTGGTGCTGTAAGGTCATGCAACTTGTTTGTGCATCCTCACTGCTAGGTGCCTAAAATAACACAGGGTTATTTTCCAATGCATTTCAGCAGTTTGAACTGCAAATGCTGCATTAAAGCAATGAGCATGGCTACAGAACACAGAGAGAAAGCTACCATGACAGCCTTTCACAGCAGTCTCTATTCCCTGCATATACATACATACTTGTTCATGATGTGTGAAGACATTTTGGAAATAAATCTTTCACAAGTATTTACTATTTAAACCTATATGCTTTTAAAAGTGGGGTGGAATACAGCTTTCACCTGTGGCACTTAGCACTTGCTTCTTGTTCACATGTTGGGAAAGGAAAAGAGAGGTTCTTATGTTGGCTGAAATTAAGTACAAGATGCTAACTCCCTGATTTGTCAAAACTCAGTCCGTCTGCAGGAGAAATCCTGAAAAGGCACTGGCTAACACAGCACAAATGCAGTCACAAATGCAGTCATGCCTGTCATGGAAAGTTTGGTGGACACCAAACCAAAGGATAACGTGAGTCACCCTGTCAGTTTGGTGCAGCTGGGTATTCTGGAGAGCATTTACTTTGCTTAACCAAACTTAGAAGTGTGGCTGTTTCAGAAGTCAGGGGTGCTGAGTCAGCACTTTCAGATATCACTCTATCAATTGTGAGTACTGGATGCATTTAAATGTTTCATATTAACATCCCCATGCTAAGTTTACACATGCTTCGCCTTATTATACTCAGTCTGTAATAACAGCTATGCTTTGCAGTTAGAATGCATCTGTCAATCCACGCTAACTCCCATCTTTTTCCAAATTAATTTGCTGTCCCCAAACAGGCAACACAACACCTGCGATTATCCCAACAAAGCACGTACTGCTAGAGTAGAATAGCAGGAACCTTCATCGGCTGCTCTCAAAGAAAACCCAGCTGAGCAAGAGAAATCCTGCTTTCTCTCTGAAGAAGATCTTGTGTGCTTAAAACAAACTGGAAAGAACTTGAATACTTCACATAATTTTTAATCAATTCTACCTAGACACACAGCAGTCTGAGAATCTATAGAGTTCTATATATAACCTCCTTACGTTTCACTATTTACATTGTGTTATTCTCTGGCTATTTCCCAACCTTATTCATTCACCCTAGAGATCAATTTATGCACCAAAATAAAGTGTGATCTTATCTTTGCACTGTACAGAAAACCTAAACAAAATTTCTCATGGGAGGCAGGGGTTAAGGCACTGGACTGGGTGTCAGAGAAGTGGTGTTCTATTCTTGGCTCTACTGCTCACTTGCTGTGGGAGCTTGTAGAGCAAGATATAGAGCAGGAATGGAGACTCCAGCCAATAAATTCCTCCTCTGTAACTTCTCCTCTTTCATTATGCACGAGAGTGAGTTTTTCCAGCATTCAAGCATACATCTGAAAGCTGGGGAAACATGACTCAACCAAAATACAGAACCAGCAGAGAAAGAAAATGAGTGGAAAACATCAATTACAAAGTTTTCTCGGGCGCCTCTGAAGTACTGAAACAGAATCTCTACTCACACAGTGAAGATAGAGGACCAAATCAGCCCTGGTTTCAGTAGGCACACCTCCAACTCTTGCACCAGATGGGCACAGGGGCTGACTTTGGCCTGCTGTACTGCTACTCCCTGATCCATTTTCTGCTTCAGGCAAGTTTTCTGAGATAGCAAACAATAAAGACTCAGGTCAGGGGGGAAGAGACTTGGGTTTGTTTTTAAAAAAATAGGAACCGACGCTTTGGTTTTTAAATAAGCAATCTGACTTTTAAAAAAGAATAATAAAAATAGAATTTATTAGGGCAACTTTGATTCAAAAGCCGTAACTAAGACTACATCCGGATCTGGAATAGCTAACAAACTGCCTAAATTAAGAATGACAAACTCTGAGTTAACTCCTACTGGAAGCAGTATTTTCATGCTTTTCAATAGGAACAGACTAGGCAGCACTTCTTCCTTTAGGTAAGAGCTGTGACCTAATGCACAAAAGTTGCTACATTTCTTATCTGTTTGGGAGAACTGAAGAAAAAATAAGCTTGGAATTCCCCATTTAGGCATGGCTGGGGCCAGGCTCTTGTACCACTGTACCGGCTAATGATTGAAGAGCTAGATTTTTGCAACTGTGATGTTCTGTGTGTATAACACATCGTCACGAAACTGATTCAACCTGGCCTTATTTATTTTTAACTGGTTTACCACCTACTCAGAGAATCTGCACCACATTCTGCTCTTAACCATGTTCTAGATGTTTGGTGTATTCTCGACTCAGTTGCTGACAGCTTTACAGCCCGGTCTTGGACCCTTCAGGCTCACAGAAACAAAGCACTAACCTAGTGGTAGAATATTGTTCAATATTAATTTTTTTTCTAAATTTTGCATATGATACATGGGAATAGCATATACCTTGTTTTAAAACTCAAAGACTGACAAATAACCTCACAAAGCAGCTGCTGTACGGTGTCAGTTCTCAGACGCAGGGAACACAGGTTCTACTATATAATAAAACATACTCCCTTGGACAATACAGGGGAAAAAAAATCTTATTCTGACAATTCCTGAAAATGCCAAGTTTTCAGAAACTTTTGGTCTGAAAGTCAGACCCAGTAGGACTCCTTTAAGGTGACCCAATACATGATATATCCAGTGATAAGTGATTTATCAGAAGTGTTAGCAGTGAACTCTGGTCTCCTTAGGTAAAAAGTGTTTTTTCCTTCCTCCTTTATCATGTCAAACCCCTATTTTTTGTTTTCCAGAGCCTGTAACAATCTCAGTCAGTTGCTCAGGAAGGAGAAGTAGCTTCTTGATATGTAAGAGCAACCTCTCCAATTTCATACTTTCTAAGATTGTCTATATTTTAATTGATGAAATATTAGGTAACCAAAGTCTTTAATCTTTACTCTAAGTGCAATGCACACTTGCTACGTTAACAATTATTTCTTAATAAAATGTAACTATGTAAAATTCAAGGCAGTCTCAGAGAATGTGCAACTGAAACCGTTAATATACCTGAGGGATTATTTCCACACTTATGTATATTAGGCATTATATAAAATACAGGATTTCCTGGGACATTATCAACAAATGAGATTTTTTTTTTTAAACCTGCTTTTTACTGATTGCATTATTGAATTCAATTTTGTTAGTTTGAATCTTCTGGGAAAGATATGATTTTAATAAAGCATAAAAGGTTTGCCTAGTAGCTGGCTGTTGGCTTTTACTTGATACTTAATGTAATCTGTAATTACTATAGCAGCTCCTATGTTGGCTGGTGTGTTAAGGTCACTGGAAAGCTATACTGTGTTGTACTTGCTGTATGAGAACATCCTTCTGGTGACTGATGGCTACACCCTATGGAAATGTTTTAATTTTGCCCTTGAAGCATGCCTTTAAGGAACACTGTCATTATGTGTATTTCCTTGGCAAGCAGTACATGGTCTTCAGGAATCTGTAGACAGCCTGATACCTGTCTTTCTACCAATGAGTGTTCAACTACATCTCCTTTGAATTACAAATCTGGTTCTCAAGTCTTCAACCAATGAATTTACATACCTCTTATTTATTACAAAGTTCTCATTTAAAAGGCACATTTTACCTTGCACACATGTTAAGATGGAGAACACTTGAAGCCCTCACTAAAACAAAAAAAAAAAGGAAAAATGTGTTGCAGGACTTGGCTTCAAGAAGGTAGGTTCTCACCTTTTTAAGTATACTTCCTTCTTGCAATGATTTTTTCTTTAAACTGTATTCCTGAACTATCTGAAACACTTGGCCAGAACTTACAGTTGAGAAACACACTTAAAGCATGATTTGAACTGTCTTATATTACAACACTGAACTATATTTTGAAGGAGTTTAACATTACCGTGCTGTAACCAAGCCCTGTGACACAGCAGGCTTGCAAGCAAGTCATCTGCAGCTTTACATGCCACCTGTTTCAGGGGTACTGCTGAGATAAACTTGAAAATAGAAGCAAAATGCTGGAAATATTCCAGAACTGCAGTATCCCTATATTAAACTTGGACTTTATACCTATAAGATTTCCATGAAAAAGACTGACAACTAAAACAATGGTCAATATTAATCACAGAATCAACAATTTAACTATTAGTCTAATCCACGTGTTTATGATTCCCACTGGATGTAAACCAACTTTGTGTCCTGGTGATACAAGTCGCTACATTAAAAATGGCAATCCCAAGAGAAAAAAAAATCAGTATGGAAAATCCTTTGATTGGGGAATGATAAATCAACTTGGTAGAAAAATGGAGGATTCTGAAAAGCTGATTAATGGGTAATTTTTTTCTGTACTGCATAACAGTTTCTGTACTAGATAACATCACATGTAGATTCTATACCTTTAGTTCAGGCAAATTGCTCACGGAAAAGTTCTTGTGCTTTCACAAGGAAAATCAGGAGCAAAGGCCCACTTGTCATTTACCAGGATTTCCCATCCATTTGGATATTTTCAGATTCACAGTTGCTGCTCTCTGAATGCAGTCAGAACACTGATTTATAAGCCATACAAACAGAAATTTGTAAAATATTTCATCATACTATTTTGGTATTAAAAACAGAAATCATCTTTACCTCTAATAAACAAAACAGAAAAGGCTCCCTGAAATAGGTTTTAAAGATTTTTTTTCAGTACAGAACTTCATGGTTAAGCTAGTTGGTTACCTATTTTCTCAGTGAAATTCATTCACTTCATGTTCACTAAACAACCTGCTGTTCTGTGGAGATGGGTCTCCCCATCTCCAGTCCTAGCTTGGAGTGACTGTGGTTTACTCTACCTTCCAGCTTGCATTAACAGCAATGTAGATTCTTCTCAGGACCAGATGCATTTAAACTGTCAACAAGAGTCAAGAGGAATTTTTGTAATACCAATTCGACTTAGCTGTTATCACAAGTTTAAACCTGCTGCAAGACCAACACAGATGGAAACTAAACATAGTCATTCATGTCTAATGAAAAAACACTGCTCGCTGTAACTGCTAAATGACTAGCACAGACAAATGAACCTCTGCCTTTGAACAAGCCTCCAATAAAATTAATTTTGTTGTACTCATCAGCTGTGTTGTAGCTTTCTCATTGTCAGAAAAAAAACACAGAGACACAAATGAGAAGCTGAGCAAAAAAAACCACCTAATATTTCTATAGCTGCTAGGGCCAAGTCTGTGGGTTTACTTTTTGCTATAAATAAAACCAATCTAAAAACAACATTAATACAGAAGTGCTATTGAACACATCAGTGAGAACCCCCCATTACCTGTAAGGCCACAACTGTAATCCCCAATAATCTCTTGGGAGCAGAATCAAAGGGCTACAGCATGCAACTTCAGTAAAAAAAATCCAGGCAGAATAAACAGAGAAAACATGAAAACAGTGATTTACTGGCACTCTGTTTGAAAGGAAGAGTTAAATTAATACATGAAAAGATCCTATTGGCTCTGACTTGTCTGGGTTATTAATTGAACACCTTCTTGGAAACGTGTAGATAAAGACGTGTATCTTAGAGAATATGAGATAAGAGCAAAAGGAAAGGGAGAGAAATTAGAAGTTTTGCCAGCTCCCCTTTAATTGACAAGCTAAGGTTGTTCAAAGCTGCCTGGAGGAGCATAGTATGAAATGCTAACTAGAGTGTGGGCTAAAGATGCAGAAGATTACAACTTCAGGATTATACTTAAACATAGATATCTTTAGACACAGAAGAGGCTGTAAAGCCAGCTGAACGATATAAAGCTGTTCTAAAACAAGACAAATGTGTACTCCATGTGTTATAAGCAGTTCAAGCTGCTTCCTGTGATGAAAAACATGGACTATATGGCAGACATACTATAGCTAAGTACAACAGATCCCATGATACAGTTGTTTAAAGGAATATTAAAGTGATGAAAGAAGTGATGGAATTCTGCTCTTTAGGAGGCTCAGAGGCTGAACCAGATAGAAAAGGTTTAAGCATGTGGACTTGGTAAATTTTCCCCAAAGTTGCGACCTAGAAGACAAGTTTTATGTATGAAAAACCTGGCCCCTCCAAAAACAATACAGCTCCATGGGTCTATTGCCCAGAGCAACAGGAGCAGGGGATGATATGGCTTAGCACTGCTTACCCACAACATCAACAGGAGGTCAATATCGTTATTGCCATTTCACAGATGAAGAACACAAGAAGCTCAGAATAGCACATCTGGAGTCAGCAGCAGTCTTGGGACCAAATCCCCTTCGTCACTTTGTTTCAGTCTGTTTCTATCCTTTCTGCGTTTTGTCCCCCATAGAGCACAGTGAAGTGTCCAACTGTACAATTCAGATAATACCAACACAGTAACAAGAAACAACCTTATTAAAATACTAATTGCAGCACTAAAAAATTTTCTATGAAATTATCACAACTGCCAACATTCCATCATTAATGTACAAAAGTCTGATTATCTTTTCAATAAAAACAGAGAAATTCTAGCCTTTAAACTTGTTATCACTGCAAAACAGAATGCCATGATAATGCATAAGAACTTTGGTTTGCAGCTGTAAAATTCCCAAAAGTCTTGTGACTCTGTTGTAATTTTGTTATAGATGATTACCTTCCTCACACATAACTCCCAAATTCACTTTTGGGAAACAAAGTATATATCCCACAAAAGCAAACAATCAGTTCTTTAATAAATGAGAAACATGGAAAGCAATTTTTCCTACAACACACTGCTGAATACTAGAATGGGTGACATTTGCACATCTGGTTTCAAATTATACAACGCATTTTTAGAGGCAAAAGTGAAATCGAAGATCTTCAAATGCTGATCTCTGACACTATTTTCAAGCGGTCAAGGTGAAAAAATATTTGTCAAGCTGAATCCTAAAGCTTATAGATAGGAAATAAAACTCGTTGTGTAAAGTATGCGTTAATTAGTTTCTCAACCAAACATAAGCTGAAAATGCTACCATTTTAAGCAAACTTGAAAAGGAGTAAGAAAATCTAATGCTAACCACCATTCCTTAATCACTTGAAAAAATGCATTTCGAAAAACCTTTTCACATAGGAATGACAATTCATTATAGTACTTTCCTGGGAAACTTAAATAGCATCTTTTAAAATTTTTGCTTTAAACTGGCTTCTAAAAAAAAAAAAAATTTATTTAAATCACAAAGTTTTCTATTCAATGGCAGTTTATCTGTACTCAAAAAAAAGGAAAAGTTTTTACAAATAGCTTCAATTACATTCCTACCCAGGAATGATTTTACTTGCATTATCAAACCCTGTAATATGCGCTGAGTTCCACGCTCCCGTTTTACAAATGAATGGCTACTGCCATCTACCGTTGAAAAAGAGATTATCAACAGCAAAAGCACATCCAACAGCCCTTCAGAGGCTACACAGAAAACAAAGACTCCACCAAGCCCAGGGGAGCAGCATACCCTGTTGAAATCTCTGAAACACACCATTCGACTGACCAAAGAGAGTTAGAAAAAAGGCTCTTCTCCTCTTGAACCACTATCATTTTTATGTCTGAAACAACTGGGAACTACACATGAAGCCAAACATTCTGACAACTGGGTTTTATGGATTTGAGGGTTTGTAAGACTGTCCCAATGACTGCGGCTACACATGAATACACACAAATTAAAATATTAATTAATAAAGATTAATTTCAAGATACTATTATGCCCAAGTTACAAACACTCCTCTGCAATCTGAAAGCTATAAATGCATAAGGTAAAAGTCACCTTCCAGCTCTCTATGCAAAGGCCACACAACATAGAATTCTTGCTTGAAGAGGGACCTGATCTGACCCACTGAGCAGGTCAAAGTCACCGAGCATGGGACCAAGACCCAGAGCTGTTCTTTCAGGCTCTCACATAAGTTTAGCATTGCCTGGGGTTGGTTTTTACAAACTTCTTTTGCATAAAATTACTTCCCCCCCTGGGTGTGTTAAGCTGAATACAGGGAGCTGGGCAAAGGAAAGCATGGTAATTTATTAATATGCTTAAACCATCTTTAGTCTATACTCTCAGTATTTACAAAGATTTAATTGTGTGACTTCAATTTACCACTGAATTATTATATAAAAATTATTGAGATATATGCTTCCTCCATTCTCTCTGCTGATGATATCCAGCCACATTTTGAAAGTACCCCTTGTTGAGGCAATCTACAAACAGAATTAAGGTAGGGTTCTATTAATGTTTGTCAGAACTATCAGAGGTTAAACAGCCTTTGAATTAAACCATTCTTTACTCTTTGATAATTATTATTTCTCCTTAAGACACTTTTTGTTGTCTCATGACCAAGGTCAGCTTGAACTGTTTTGTTAGACTCAATACAGTACTTCAATTTAACTCTGCTTGTACTGTTCTTTCACAAAGTCTGCACGCACTGTCACCTCTGCAAACAATTTTTGGAAACATTTAGCAGAACTTTCAGTAAGTGAGAAGGCTCCAGCTTTTCTGTTAGTGATTCCAAGTACATAGCAAATTGTACTTTAAATTTAAACACAAAGTCATACCAGCATGTGAATCTATACTAATTTACTTCAGTTTGTCTATCTTTGCATATAATCCTCATGAAGTAATATAAATATGCCTTATTTTGGTTTGTTGTGCACTGGCACATCCCATACAACCCAAACAATTGTGCCTGTTTTTAAAACAATGCAAGAAAGCTAAAATACAAACTGGAAACAGCTCAATGAAAGCAATGCAAGATAAAGTACTGCTGCTGTCGTATACAACAAGCTCTTCAGATAGTGGAAACACATTCTTGTTGAGATCAGGAAAGGTAATGACCCTGAGAGATGACTGAAGGCAGAGACCAAGGTAGAGGCAAGAGTGGAACACAGCTCAAAACCTCTGCACACCACATAGTGCCACAGCTGGAATAAACTGCAGCCGAGATTTCATGCTTGGAAACGTGCACTTGAAAAATGTGGTAATGGGGGTCATACCACTCATCCCCTTCATCCCCCCAGGGACCCTAAATCTGCTGGTTCTTGAAATATCCTCAGAAGATGGCTACTTGCAGAAGCACAGCGAGATTATACCATCTGCTACCCCACCAAGTCTAGCAGACCTCCCAAGCGATTTTATCCACATTGTGCTGGGTGTTTTTTCCTAGGTTCTCCACAGAATGGGAGCAATTTCCCACATAGACAGAAAACTCTAGGGTTTGGTTAGAAATAGCACACTTCAAAGATGACCATGCAAAAGGAAGACGTCCCCATGCATATATTAGCAGAGTGCAGTGAGGGCATTCCATCCTGCCAGGGCAGTCCCAGTGCTTTGTCACCTTTGGCCAAGGCACTTCCCATGTACACAAGCTGAAATGATACGTGGCATATGACTGATGTCAAACAGCAAAAACATCCTCAAGCAGATGTGAGCATAACACCCTGCAAAGTCCACCAGCTAAACATTTGTTACAGAACCTGCTGACAACTTGATGTTAATTTCTGAGCATCTGACACCTGACTACAAGTCACCCAGCATGCACAATCCTCATTCCCAAACCACCTGAACAGCAGCCCAGAATATGAACTTCAACAACAGGCTTTCATAATTTTATTGAGAACAAGTGCTCCTCTTCTCCCAAACATCATCACCTCCCTCTGTGTCACTTTGTGCACTGCTAGCATTGAGGGTAACATTCTTGGTGCACACAAGCTTCAAACCAACCATCAGATATTTAAAATCAAACAAATCTGTAGATGTTAACAAGAGCACTTACGCTCTGCAGGGAAGAAAAACCACTTCATGTCAAGTGATTGAAGCATGGCACTGAGGTGGACCTGCTGACTCTCACAGATGACTGCGGCTTACTGCCAGCTGAGTTCTGCTTAGAAAAGAGCCTTCAAATACTATTACTTTGACGCACCAAGGCTGCAGCCACTTGCAAATGGTTTTAAACTCTTCAGGGAAGAAAATGCTGAGAGCTTCAGATTCCTAAAAAGTCAAAGTAGCTATTTTTTTTTATTTGACAGCTTCACTGGAGCCAGAAGGCAGCTGCAGGCTGTTCAGAAACAGTAGCAAGCTGTAGCAGCAACAGCTATGTTTATTGTAGTCTCCATGACAATACCACATCGCACAAAGTTTTCCTTCCTACCATCAATAAACAGAAGGAAAAGTAGATCAAGTCCTCCATTTCTAAACAGTTTTTCTATGACACGTGGATCTGCAGAGCACACACTTCCTCATGCATGCAGAAAATTGGCAGTTTAAGCTTACAGCCTCTTTCAGAAGTGACAATGAAAGGAGAAAAATCATGGTAAATGCCACAAAATCAGATATATTAGGAAACAAGAACTTTTCTCAGGGAAACAAGACTTGAGAGACAAGGAGAGTTTTCTTTTGAAAAGTAATGTACTAAGCACATGAAATATTTCGGCTTTGCATGTTTAGTTGCAAGACTGAAATAATTATTTGATGCTAAGTGAAAGCTGTTGCTAAGAAACAAGATAAAACAATGAAAACGCATTGGTTTCAAATGAGAAAGAACACTACTGCTGGCAGAGCCAGTGTTAAGTTTTAGCTAAATTGGGTTTATTAAGTGACATTCAGATTCCATTACCAGAAAGGAGCTATACATCTTCAGGCGTGTGATGTCGGACTCTCCCACTTCTACTTACTCTGGCAACAGAAGGTTTCCGTGGAACAGAAGTGCAAAAAATTAAGTGCCCAAGTGCACTTTGTGGTAAGAATGAAAAAAAACCAAACCCCACAAGGCCACAAGATGGCACTGGTCAAACGCCCAGGAAAGAATTTAAAGGTTGGTAAAATATGAGCACTGCGGCATGACCAAACCCAGCTTCTAGGGCCATGTCTGCTCCCTGCCAAGCCGAGGCCTGCGGTGGGTGCAAGAACGCACGCATGCCGACTTTTCTGATAAACTTTCTCTATGTGGTTGATGCTGGCTGCAGAAGCACTGAAACAGTTTGGCCTATGGCAAGCAATCCCAGCAGAGGCAACCAAACAGCGTGTTCCCATGGTGGCAAGCAGCCCAGCCCGGGCTCTCTGCACTGCTCCGTGAGGGAGGCAGTGCTGTGGCTGGGCATTCCACAGGAGCCCCCTGCTACACGGCAGGGCCGAAGCCTCCGCACTGGGAGGAGCGGCGGGGGGGCAAGCCCCAGCACTGCTCCCTGCACAACCCGTTCTTCTGCACTGCAGCAAAATGCTTGTCGCCAGCTCCCCGTACCCGGGGGCTTGCGTCCTTTTGCAAATTCAGCTCCACACTTCTAAACCGGAGGAGTAAAATAAAAGAAAACGCTTCTTGAGCTAGATAGGTTAAATTCAACAATCCCAGCTTTCCACAGCCGCAGGGCCCTCCCAAACAAGATGGCAGCGCCAGCGGTGCGCACGGCCCCTCCATCGCCCGTCCATCCGAGGAGGACGGGACACAACAAAAATCCCGGCAGGGAAGTGACACTCTGGGGCCTCCGGGCAGCTCGCTTCGCCCCCGGGGCACCCCTTCCCCGCCGGGCCCCACCAAGCCGGGGCCGCCCAGACTGCGATCTCTACCCGCCCGCCTCAGCGGGGCAAGGCCGCCTCACGGCGAGGTGGAGGGGAAGCGGCCCCAACAGTCGGGCCCAAGGCGGTGGTCGCACGCTGCTACCCCGACACCCTCCCCGCCCCCCCCCCGCCAAATCCTCAGCCCCCATCGGAGAAGCTGCTGCGGGTGTCGGAGCAGCGCCATCCGCGAATCCCACGGTTGAGAGAAACGCGGCGGCAGTGCCGAAGACGCTGCTCCGTTTTGTTCTGCTGGGGCACCCGGCGGGGACGCGCCCTTTCGCTCCCGACCGCCGGCGAGGCTAACAGAGACGAACTCTTCGCGGCGGCAGTGGCGCGAACCGGCCGACCGCGGCCTCCTTAAAGTGCGGCGGCGGGAGCATCCGTGGCACACCCCCGGCTGCGTGGGGGACCGAGACCCCAGGGCGGGCTAGGCTGGGGAGACCCGTGGCTGACGTTTTTTGATAGCAAATCCCATTCCCCCCCAGACGGCTCCCCCCGTCCGCTGAAAGTCAGCGAACAAAACAGCGGACGGGTGCAAGGGGAGCACGGCGGCAGCCATTAGGGTTAGTGAGGCTGGAGCCCCCCCACACCGCCACGCGACGTGCAGCACTTCTTAAACCCTCCGCGGTCACGCCCACCGCGCTTCCATTGGTCAGAAGCGGCACCCACCTCTGCCGCCATTGGCTACGGCGGGGGCAGGGGGCGGGAGGGAGAGAGTGGCGGGAGTTTGGGACGCTCGGGCCATTCGTCCGGCGGTAGTACCACGTGCTCCTGGGAGGGCGCTCCTGACTGCGCCCTCCCCTTTCCCTCCCCTCCCCTTCCCGCCCCTCCCCCTGGGAACTGGGCCTGGATCTGGATCTGAATCTGGGACCTGGAGCCGGATCCGGGGCATGGGGGCGGTGTGTAGGGGCTGGTGCCTGCGATTTAGCGTAGGGACTTGAGCCTGGGGGCTGCACCTAGGGCCCGGACCCATGTTTGTGCCCTTTCTGTCTCAGTCGAGGACCCCCGGGTGCGGAATTCGGCCCAGAGACTCCCTTTGTTACCCTGAACCAGCCCTGTGCCCTGTTGGAGAGGGTATTTATCTCTTCCATGCTCTCTCTTTGTGCAAGGCATATTCTCCCTGCACTGTAAGTGCACACCTCACTGTGACACTGTGACAGTGGCGAGACACTCGCTGTGGACACAGAGCTACCCCTAGACACTAGCTTCCAGAAAGCGGCCACTTCAGTTTCTTCTCCATGAAATGTTAAGTAAAACCTGTAATAAAATCACAGGTATTTTAGAAATGTCTTCTGTGCACCGTGTTGGGCTCAGCCTTCTGTGTACTCTCTCACCGTAATCTGTGTAGGCTGTAAGGCACCTAAGGAAGGAAGGAGCCTCCTGTCCAAACAGAAAACTTCCTATTAGGAAGAGCACTGGCATTCACCTTAACACCACCTAACACCCCCATACAATCTCCTTGTTTAAGCATTTCTTTTAGTTTCAGGGAAGAGGCTAAAACTGCCAGAAAGGACTGAAGTCCTTATGCCAACATCATGATTTGTTCATCATGATTTGTTCATGATAGAATTGGAGCAGAGCTTGTCAATCCCCGGTGATTCTATGCCAATGATAGGAAGGTAAAAAAGGTGATTCTATGCCAATGATAGGAAGGTAAAAAAGGGCTTCAGGACAGTGTATCTTTTAATTCTGAACCATAATCTCGTGGCCACTAGGAATGTGGTAAGATTTTTCCGCCTTAGCAGGATTCTTAGTTACGTGTTTCTCGAAGCTCAGGCACACATAATATAATTTTTCTTGTATGCCTGGTACAAGCAACTGCTGATCTATGGTGACATTTAATCTCTAGGGACTGCTGAAGACCTTGCAGGAACAGAATGGGTGTTATTAGTACTGGGGCAACGTGCCGCTGGACAGAGCTGTGGCTGCAGCGTGAGCATTTTCACATCAGGCACTGCAGTTGTGCCGAAGGGATTTTTACGTGTTCCGTTTGCACTGGTGCTGTTATTCTCGGCGGGTGTGTGGAAGGGACCGTCGGCGACGTCCCCGGAACACCACGCACCTCAGGGAGACCTGCTGGCCCTGCAGCGGGGCGGAAGGCAAGGGGCAGGGGAAGGCTGTGGGGAGTGTTTGGGGAGTTCCGGCACGGACAGGCCGCAGTTCTGCGGAGATGCCGTTCCTTGGGCAAGCCCCTTGCTTCGGCGCCGGGCTGAGGCAGGAAGAGGCCAGGAGGGAAGGTAGCGGCGAAGCCGTGATGGGTGCCATTAGCAGTGCTGCCGGAAAGCATACGCGTAGGGTTGTTTCCGTAGTGTAGCGGTTATCACGTTCGCCTAACACGCGAAAGGTCCCCGGTTCGAAACCGGGCGGAAACAACAACGAATGCTGCATTTTTAATCTTTTCACACTAAAAAATGACTGGATCCGGTCCCCTCCGGCTGCTCAGCCGCCCCTATCGCAAACGCTGAAACACCCTTCTTGGTGGGACGCACAGGCATGGGCAAGGCTCTGAGGCACTGAGGCACTAACAGTAACAAATACGTCAAAACCAGTCTGTTTATCAAGCCGGGGTACAGGAAGAGGAGCTGAACCCAGGGAGTCGCGTTAATTACCCGTACCTGCCCTCAGGTAATGGTGACTACAACTCCCGGTGTGCACCGCTTCCTGTCGCTGTAATGGCGGGCCCTGCCACGGCGCGCTGCATGATGGGAGTTGTAGTTCGAATCCCCTGACCCTCACGGGCAGCCGTTCGCAGCCCGGCGCTACCCTTTCCCCTCGGCGGGACAGGTCGCGGCCGGTCAAGGTTCGCCAGTTCGTCACGGGTGGAACCGCTGCCCCTCAGGAACTGGACGCCGGAACCCCCATCCCGGAAGCTCCGGGCTCGGCGTCATCAGAATATGGCGGCCTGAGGCGGAGGCGTCCCTTCCTTTCCCGTCCCCTCCGCAGGTGCGTGGGGTGCTGATGGGCTGGGGTGGGTTCGCCGGCGTTGCAGCGGCCCTCGGGTCGGGCGGGCAGTGCTAGGAGCAGACAGTGCTTGGTCAGCCGCGGGGGGCACGTTGTGGCGGGGCCGGGTGAGGGCCGCGGTGCGGGAGGGTGCTGCGCGCTCTGTCCCGTCCAGCGACGAAGCCAGCCCGGGAGTTCGCGGCTGCCGTGGCTCGCCGGCACCCCCCTTGCTGCCTTGGCGCCGAGGCGGCCCTTCCCTCTGGGCCCCGGTGCCTGCTCGAGACCCGTTGCTCCCGGGGTCTGTTGGTCCCCGGTCTGTGCGGCGGGGAGCAGGGCTGCTCCCCGGAGAGCGGCAACCCCCGCCGCCTGAGCGCGGTTCGGGCCGAGCCACGGATGTCTCGTGTCTGCGGAAGCTCCTCGGAGCCCCGTTTCGACATGACAGTTCACAGGCTTAAACAAACTAATCTCCGATCGCGGCGTGAGGGAATTATACACGTCTGTGCCTTCTCCCTCTCCTGTCTCTAAATTAGCAGCTCCCCAAGTGAAGAAAGACCTGCCCGTCTCGTTATGTCTCATACAGAAGCACTTCTACAAGAATTACCCTGCGGTAGTCCTGAGTGGATTCGAACACTGACTCACTTGTAATCATTAACTTACTCTGTTAAGGGAAAACCAAAGTTAAATCTTGAATGTAATTTTTTTGCTTTCCTAGGTCAGAAAATACCAAAATGCAGTATTCCCATCACTGTGAGCACCTTCTAGAGAGACTGAACAAGCAGCGAGAAGCTGGGTTTCTATGCGACTGCACTGTTGTTATTGGTGAATTCCAGTTCAAAGCACACAGAAACGTGCTTGCCTCCTTCAGCGAGTACTTCGGCGCCTTTTACAGAGATGCGTCTGACAATAACGTTGTTTTGGATCAGACTCAAGTGAAAGCTGACGGATTCCAGAAACTCCTGGAATTTATTTATACAGGAATCTTAAACCTTGACAGGTAACATATTCTACTAAATAGAGAAAGAGAACAGGGAAATAAACTTTGTGTTATGGCAGTACTGTTGTTTTTTTTTGTCCTTTGTAATACCTTCTGGAGGAACACATGGTAGTGGCTATGATAAATATTACAAGTTGGAGATAATCTGTTTGTATGTTTTAAAATTAGACAGGACATGCCAGTGCCAAAACAAAGGTTTGTTGTCTGATACTCCACTGATTGTTAGTTTCAGTTTCCCTGTCTGGATTGGGAGGGATTAAACATCTTGCATGATTACCAGGAGAGGGAAGGATACATTTTTTCTTTCTTAGGTTGGATCACAGGAGTCCATTTTTCCAGAGAACACACAGAAACTGTGTACATGGTAGAAGGTAAAGTCCGAAGAATGGGTGAGGATAGGCACCACTTTAAAAGATTGCATTGGTTAGAATTTGCATGATCAGTTACTTAAAATTTTTCATTACAGTGCCCAAAAGGAGTCACAGAAAAAGCATTTCCCCCCTTACTGCACTGATCTTATGCTTGTCATGTTGCTTTATGTACAGTGAGATTCTTTGCAGTGCTTTCCTCTTGGCAAACAAGACATTATCCCTCACAAGGGAAGTATGACTTAGAAAGTATGTAGTCCAGGATTTTCCTTCCTTTCCCAATGCCTGGTGCCAAATGCAGGTTTAAAAACCTGTCTGAAATCTCACAGTCATTAATTTAAGTACACAGATGCAGGCTGGTATGGTGGTGTTTGGGGTTTTGTTGTTTTGGTTTTATTTTGGTTTTAATTAGCTACAAGCATTAATAGCAACAAAGCAGGTAATGCAGCTGTGTGGTAAAGTAGGTGACCACTGCTTTGCAGATTAGTGTGAGC